TTTGGCGCCTGGGTAAAGCAGAAAGGGTGGCCTTGGCTTCTGGCCGGACCCCAGCAGTGCAACAGGGGCTCCGCTGCTGGAGAGCCACTGTCTAGCTGCTTCTAAGCCAGCACTAGTTGAGGTTCTGGATGGATGACTCCAAAATTCAAACCAGGGCTGGGTGGGATTCCTGTAATCCCAGCACTCACAGCCTGGAACCGGAGGATCTCAAAACTGAGCCTGCGTGGCCTACATCAGGAGAGTGTGTTTTAAAAAACGAAAGTTAAAAGGCCAGGTACTGGTGGCTCATGCCTGCGATCCCAGCCACTCTGGAAGCTGAGATCTGAGGGGTGAGGTTTGAAGCCAGCCCTTAGAAAAGGCCAGAAGTAGGTGCAGAGCGCTAGCCTTGAGCAAAAAAGAGCTCAGGGACTGCGCCCAAGCCCAGTTTGAGCCCCAGGACCAGCAAAAAGAAAAAGAAAAAAGGCCAGGGTCAGAAATCTCCTGGGAAGTGCTTCCCTTTCTGGTTTCTAGAGGTTTCTGGAAGCAAGTAGCAGACACAACCATTAACTACTACTCCTGTGGATTCTCCACTGTGGAGAATCCTTTGCCACAGTCAGACTTTATGACTTCCTTTCCTTTCTTCTGGCCAAGAGAATTATCTGGTTATGCCAAAGAGGGAGGAGGGAGGGCAGGAGGCAGGTGCATGAATGAATGAGTGCACAGATGGGTGAATGACACCTGGGCTCTGTGGATCAGCCCCCCGCTGAATTCTGGGGGCTCAGAACAGGAGGAGGTCTGTGCTGGTCCCCACCTTGCTTCTGACTGGTTCTCCAAAGCTCTCTTCCCTGGTGACTTTCCACATTTTCTCAGGCCCTTGCCAGAATTGTGAGTCCTTTTTCCAAAGGCCTCATCTCAACACCCTTGCCCCATCCCCTGCTCCCACCTCCTGCCAGTGCTCATGGCAAAGGCATTGCCAGTCTTCCATCTCAGAAGGGAGCCCAGAGGAGGGTCCAGATCAGCTGGTCCTGTGGCTCACCGGCCTCTGGTTCCTGGGTACTGTCAGGCCGGAGGCTGACCTCCATGCTTCCATGACACCTTCCTCACAGGGCATTATGGGATGTAATTACGAGGACTTTGTGAAGACCTTTGTAGGGTCAGGTTCTGGGACACGCGGGAGATACCAGTGGTCTGTGGTCTTCTTTCCATAGTGGGTGGAGGTTGTCTAGGGAGGGAGGCTAGTAAGCTGAGCTTCCAGTCCCCCTGGCTGGAATCTTGTAGTACTCTATCCTGGGCCAGATGAGCAGACATGGATACACAATAACCCCCCCCCCCACACACACCAGGCTCAGGTGAGGACAGAGGTTTGGCCAGTGTGACAGGCATACCCAAGGAGGTGGGACCAGCCCGGAGTCACACTTGGGGCATAAGTAAGGAAGAAGCAAGCCCCGGAGAGAGGGACTGTCTGAGCAGCGGCAGAGCCTCTGCCTCCAACTCCCCAGCAGGTGGCGCTGTAGGACAAGGAGCTGGGGGGGGTGTCTGCAGAGGCGCCGTGGGCCAGGGCAGGAGGACCCGGGGCTGAGGACCCTGGAGGAAGTCCGTCCAGGCCGGTATTCCTGTGACAGTCCCTGGAGTCACTGGTGCATGGGGTGATTGAAGAGTTAATATCTGAAGCCCCTCTGCCTCTCGGTCAGACCCTCAGAAAGGCGGTTATGGGATGGATGCATGCACATGATGTCATGGACTTTCAACGGGGGGAGGGAGGGGGAATCACCTGTCCTTTGGGGCACAGAGCCAATTCTGGGTCCTTCTGGAAACTTCTGTTTTGCCAAAGAGGACTTCAGAGCACAGAAGTGGCCTGGGGCGGGTACTGGTTATTCATGACTGTAAATCCTAGCTACTTTAGGAGGATGGCCATTCCAAGCCAGCCCTGAGCGGACAATCCATGAAACTACAAAATAACCAGCAAAAGGCAGGTCTGAAGGCGTGGCACAAGTGGAAGTATGCTGGCCAAGCAGGCATAGCACCCTAAGTTCAAGCCCTAGTATCACAAACTGATGTGCGCACTCTCTCTCTCTCTCTCACACACACACGCACACACACATGCACACACGCATATGCACACACACACGCACGCGCACACACACATGCACACCCTGTATCACCACCCTCACACATCTCAGGCCATCTGTAAGTGCACACACACACACACACACACATGCACGCACACATGCGCACACACGCGCACACATGCACACACACATGCACGCCCACACACGCACACACACATGCACACACACACACACACACACAGGTGGCCTGGATTCAAAGCATCAGGCTCTTCCCAGTGCATTTACCTCTCTGAACACCTGCCCCTAGTCAATCATAGGATTCTAGATTCTTGCTTTAGTAATAAGAAAAGATTTCCTGGGGCTGGGAAGGTGGCTCAGTGGTAGAGCGCTTGCCTTGCATGCATGAGGCCCTGGGTTCAATTCCTCAGCACCACATAAGCAAAAAAGAAAAAAAGCCAGAAGTGGCGCTGTGGCTCTAGTGATAGAGCACTAGTCTTGAGCTGGAGAGCTGAGGGACAGCGCCCAGGCCCAGAGTTCAGGCCCCACAACTGGACCCCCCCAAAAAAAAATAGAAAAAGAAAAGATTTCCTATTTATCTATGGCTTAAAAGTGCCAGGACCAAGCTGGGTGGCAGTGACTCAGGCCTGTAATCCTAGCTACTCAGGAGGCTGAGATCTGAGGACCAGCCTGTGTGGTAGCGCATAAGCCTTGAATGGAAAAGCTCAGGGACAGCACTCAGTCCTGAGTTCAGCCCCTGCCCTAGCACACAGAAAGCGTGTGGGGCGCAGAGGGAATCACAATGTCCCCTCTCCACAGTCCCTTGCTGACCTCGGCCCGAGGAAGTGTCCTGGGATGTCAGGTCCTGTCTCCGGGGGAGGCCTGGCGGGGTCAGGATGTTCCCAAGGTCACATTGAAGGGCTTCATCTTTAAACCACGGCCACGTGGTATGCTGCCCGACTCTGTGGCCAGCCCCCTCCACCCGCACCTGCCCCGGGCCTGGCTGTTCAGAGCTGCTCCCCGCAGCTCTGGCCACGGGCGACAGGTGGGGGTCCAGTGAGGCCTGGCCAAGCCAGGAACGTGCAAGGGGTCAGGTGGTGTGGTTAGGAACTGGCTTCTGCTGGGCTGCAGCAGGTGTGTGTGTGTGTGTACATTGACTAGGAGGCAGGAGACCTGCACAGGTGGGTGTGGCCTCTTGGAGGAAGTCTCTGCAGGCAGGGGAGCATGGGGAGAGGCAGCAAGCACAGGGGTGGCAGGGAAGGAGCCGGAGGTGCCAGGTGGAGGCAGGAGAAGGGCCTGGCACCTCTGCAGGACCTGGGTTTTTCGTAAGGTGTGATGGACGCCAGGGAGGGGTGAGGCCAGGCAGGCAGGAGTGAGGGACCGCTGTGGTCTGCAGGCCAGGAGGCGGGGTCTCACGGTGGAAGGCTCTGCAGGCCAGGAGGCGGGGTCTCACGGTGGAAGGCTCTGCAGGCCAGGAGGCGGGGTCTCACGGTGGAAGGCGAGGGAGGCCTGGTCAGCTCGGGCTTTTGCTTTTGCTGGCATGGGGGTTTGACTCAGGGCCTCACATGTGCTGGGCCTGCTTGTTTCCTGAGCTGGATCTCTACCATGTGAGCCACAACTCTCTCCTGCCTTTTCCTGCTTTTTTGAGATGGAGTCTTGCAGGTTTTCCCGCTCTGGCTGGTGAGGATTCCAGCCAGGAGTACCCTGCTGGGCTAAGCTTTTTGACATGCTGTGTAGTCTAGGCTGGCCTTGTACTTGTGGTCCTTCTGCCTAAGCCTCCCAAGTGCTAACCTCAGCTACTCAGGAGGCAGAGATCAGGACTGAAGTTGGAGATGAGCTTGGGCAAAAAGTTCAAGAGACCCTATCTCAACCAACAGCTATGTATGGCAGTGTGTGCTTATCATCCTAGCTATGCAGGAGGCTGAGATCAAGACTATGATTCAAGGCCAGCTCAGACACACAAAAAAAAGTGAGACCCTATCTTAAAAATAATCTAAGTCGGGGCTGGGAAGGTGGCTTAGTGGTAGAGGCTTGCCTTGCATGCCTGAGGCCCTGGGTTCAATTCCTCAGCACCACGTAAGCAAAAAGAAAAAAGCCGGAAGTGGCGCTGTGGCTCAAGTGGTAGAGCGCTAGCCTTGAGCTGAAGAGCTGAGGGACAGCGGCTAGGCCCTGAGTTCAGACCCCATGATCAACCAAAGTCAAAAGGACTAGAAGCATGGCTCAAGTGGTACAGTGCCTGAGCAGTAAGCTCAAGGACCTGAGTTCAAATTCTGGAACCAGCACCAAAAGAAAAAGAAAAAAGGCCCTGAGAACCCCAGGCCTCTGGCCAGGCACCCCTTTCTCATGCGCCAGCGTCAGTGTGTGACTCAGTCATAGTTACTGGTTCCCAAATAAAGACACAGGAGGAAGAGGACAAATTTTAACTTTAAAATAGATCAGCATATTGTTTGTGGGGGAAGACAACAAAGGTGACCTCTGGGGGGGGGAGGGCTGCACCCCAGTCCACCCCTGTGGAAATCCACCCTGATTGACAGGACCCCAACCCCAGGGGGCGGGACTAGCCTGGGAAATGACCCTCTGGCTCTCCTGTGGCCAGGGGTCCCAGATGAGACCTCAGACACCCCAGGAGAGCGGTGAGCGGAAGTGAGGCAACTCCAAGCATGGCACCGCCATCCTTGTGAACACCAAACTGGCAGAGCCGCGGACTCGACCCATGGCTTGGGTTTTTAAACACCGCCTTGTAATTTGGATTTCTCCAAACACAAACTGTGGGAGCTGGCAAAGAGGGGCAGGGTGAGCCGGCCGGGGAGGGGGTCCCCCTGGGGGGGAAGGGGGTGGCCACTCACGGAAGGGGAAGTCTTTCCCAAAATAATTCATCTCTAGGACTTGAATCGGAGGTCTAGCAGGCCCTGCATCAAGATGGCAGGGGCGAGAAGCGGGAGTGGAGCGGTGGTTCTAGGGGTGGGTGTAGTTGCCCATGCGCAGCGTCCCCTGGCGCACAGCCTGCTCTTCACGGTGCGCTCTGAAGGCTCGCTGGCGATCGGCCTCCGTGGGGAACGTGTCCAGCTGGGAGACGGCCTGCGCACAGAGGGGAGGCAGACAGGAGGGTGAGGTGCTTCTCCCTCCTCGCCCCACCCCTGCCTCCATGCTAAAGAAAGAACGGAGGGGAGATGTTAGACGGAGCGCCGTGAGGTCCTGTCTGGTTTGTGGCTGGGGCAGACATTCGTGTAATCCATGTCGCCGGACAGTGAGCTAGGGTCATTGTGTAGAACTCAGTAGCCGGTGTCACCCACGCCTGCTGATTCTCTACAACTAAAACTTGAAACAGCCGGATGCGGGTGGCTCACACCTGTAATCCTCTCTACTCTGGAGGTTAAGACCAGAGGATCGTGGTACAAAGCTAGCCCAGATAGGAAAGTCCATGAAGCTCCTATCTCCAATTCAATACCAGAAAACCAGATGTAGTGTGGCTCCAGCGGTGGAGTGCCAGCCTTGAGCACAAAAGCTAAAGGGCAGCGCCAAGGCCCTGGGTTCAAGCCCTAGGACTGGCCTCCCCCACACACCCCCGCCCCCTCATTCAAGCTCTACCCCAGGGGGCTCTTGGCAGCCTGAGGGTTGGGGGTGCCCCTCAAAGGCACCAGAAACAGAGCTTAAGGAGTCTCACCTTGCCTTGCTGGAAAATAAAACCAATCCAACTAAAACCATGCAAGGGAGACAGAGTCAAGTGTGGCATCCCAGTAGTGAAGACTCCACGGTCAGCCCCGTGTGCCCCGTGCGCACGCCTAGAGCATGCAAGGACCGGGGTTTGAGCCCAGCCCTGCAGAAAAAAAAGGGTGAGATTTTCCTGCCAAGAGTCCTCAGCCTGCTCTCCACCGTGAAGCCTGGCATGGGTTAGAAGACTTCGCGTCTCCCCCAGTCCACGGGGCCTGTGGCCTCCCTGCAAATCAAGATGCGCAGTGCCCACCGTCCCTCCCCACTGTCCACGGGAAGGCAGGCCGGGCACAGGGAAGACAGGGCGCAGGCTCACTGCTCACTCCATTCACTCACCACCTTGTTCACCCATTCCTTCATTCTCTTACTCATTCGTTCACGTCTACCTCAGCTCTGCCTCAGGCCTGGGCACGGAGGTGGAACTCATAATCCCGGGCGGCCATGGCCACGGCTGCGCAGCCCCGCACAGGGAGGGCAAACAGCGGGAGCCCCTGGGAGCCAGGCTGGGGGCTTGCGGGGGAAGCCGGCAGGCCTTGGGCTTCAGGGGCTCTGTGTGGGCATCTGTCTCACCCTGGGGCTCTTGTCATGCAGAAAGCTCACGTCTGCCAGGGTAGAGCCTCCACACAGTCTCTTAACACCCCTCTGCACCCAGGGTGACGTATCTTCCTTAGATCATGGGCTTGTTCT